TGTGTTATTGAGGGTGAAAACCAAAGAAAAAGCAGATTGTTGCTGAAGGTGACACTGCTCCACGGAGTAGGAGATGAAGCTCGCTAATACACAGTACTGAGTTTCAGTGAGCTATTTAAGAGGAAGTGAGTATGGTAAATATGTTCGATACATTCTACTGTTATATGATACGGAAGAGCCAGCCCCCGAAGACAAAAGTTTACCGCAAAGGTGAGCCCAAGATGAAGGCGCCAAAGGCCGGGACAGCAGAATCAACGACCGAAATTCGACCTAACAACACTTTTTCGGAGCTTACCTAGCACCAATCATAGGATTTGGTGCCGAGTACGTGCCGTAGAGTCTCGTTGGTCCGAGCAAGAGCATTTCCATGCTTTTGCCTGAGTTTCTTTGGCGGTCTCGACGAGATGTTTACGACAATCTGCCTGAACGTCCGCTTCATCAGGCTCTTTTGAGCCTTCGAAGACGTAAACCTTGACTTCTCAGAATCCGAGGGCTCAGATGATGCTTCCGGAGTCGCCGACCTTGACGCCTCAGAATCTGAAGCCTCAAATAAAGCCTCGGACGTTTGTACCTCAGCCTCTCGACGGCGCATGAATAAGATGTGTAAGTAGGCTGCCTTCTTGGTCCGCTTTGGGAGAAGCGCTAGCGTTAATTCCCAGGGATCTTTACGGGCACGAAAGCGAATAAGGATTACCTGTTCAACGACATCCCAACGGTCGTTGGAAGACTTCATTTTTGACCCTTTTGTGGCATCAGCCCGCTGATCTGTGACGAATGGGACGTTAGCGGGGTTCTCGCTAGCGTGTCCGTGCGCGTAACGCCCGGATTCGCGTAACGCCCGCCTTTTACTAGGAAAATTAAAGAAAATAAGTAACTTTAAAGCTATATAACTTTTTAATTACTTTTTCTTTTTAAAAGCTTCCTTAACTAAAGTTATAGAGAAAAACTATCTTTATAACTTTAAAATTTTAGTTTTTTAATAATAATTAGTTTAAAGAAAAAAGTATAAAAGTACTAAAACTTAAGTCTTTAAAATTAAAAAATAATATTTTTTTAGAAGTAAAGTATACTATTTAGAATATATTTTATATTAGGTTTTTTCTAATAAAACTATTAACTAGGAAGTTATACTATCTTTTAACCTTTTTTATATAAGAAAATTAGGAAAGATAATATATCTTCTTAAATAATTATTTTATTAAAAAGAACCTAATATAAAATATATTCTAAATAGTATACTTTACTTCTAAAAAAATATTATTTTTTAATTTTAAAGACTTAAGTTTTAGGACTTTTATACTTTTTTCTTTAAACTAATTATTATTAAAAAACTAAAATTTTAAAGTTATAAAGATAGTTTTTCTCTATAACTTTAGTTAAGGAAGCTTTTAAAAAGAAAAAGTAATTAAAAAGTTATATAGCTTTAAAGTTACTTATTTTCTTTAATTTTCCTAGTAAAAGGCGGGCGTTACGCGAATCCGGGCGTTACGCGCACGGACACGGTAGTGCTAGCACCTGGGCAATGTCGGATGATGAATCCGTCCGATGGTGAAGTCATGGTTGAGGTTGTTGATAACTTGGTGCATATGCTGGGCAGGGGCTTATATAGGTATTAAAATGATCATGTTCAAATTGAATAACCTCGATGTACAGATGTATTGTTGCCACACAATGTCAGGAGATTTTGTCTACCGAAGAAGAGCTAGAATCAAAGAATCGAGAGATCTGTGTTGCTTTCCGAAGAACGTTGTCGAGAGAAGCAGCTTGTATCGCTGAACGATGTGGCATAGGGCGCAAAGAAGAGGCTGGATTGAAAGACTGGCCGTGTATAAGAGTGGGTCGTGAAGTATATAAATCAATCCTTCGTTTGGCAGTTAAATTTTGTTGAAGATGTTTGCTTCTGGAAAAAAAATCGGCTTTTAGAATTGGCTACGTTATTGGATCATGAATAGAAGTATGTATAATCATAGATCGAGGAAATAGAAGTGTGGATTGCATACCTGGATTTTTGACACTTGACTTCAAGCATACTGCAAAGACGAAGAAGTGGATAATAGCGGTGCACGAAAGCCCAAAACGACCTGAACAAAATCCACGTAATCAGTATCGTCAGCTATTGAATTAGTACCAGGAGTACTTCTTGCCGCCGGTAAATACTCTCAAGGCGGCATTCATGTTAGCCATCGTGTTTGTATTTTTCGGCGTCGTCCTCTTCTGCACACGCGCGGGTTTAGTCAAACCATCTTTGAAAGTCCAATTCTTGGGGGGCTTGATGAGCCGTGCGTTCTTCGCTTCCAGAAGCCCCATACATGTATGGATACCGATCGAACTCGATGGCGGCTGCGATGCAGTGTTCTATTCCACTGTGCGCTGTTTACGATCTCAAAAACATACCCGTTAATATGCACAACGTCGAAATGATAGTGATTGGTATGATGCAAACGGGTCTCCGTGGTTATCGCAAGGTAGTATGTTGGAGGATAATAATTTTTCTCTCATGGAAAGGCAAATGCGAGTTTATATGAGAGAGAGATCCATTTGAGGAGCTTGAGAGTCAAGAGGAAAAACGTCTGGTAAGACTGCAAGAATGCAGGACACTGTTAAGACTGGTGGAACAGTTCAACTATGAAAAGTCATCAGCCAATAAAATGCACTCGCGACACAATATTTGACTCATGTCTAAAACCTCGTTAACATGCCTTCTATTATGGTTTCAATAAAAGCTTTGACTCAAAGTTTGGGGACACTTTCAACGCCTAAAATCTTCGAAGGCATACCAAATATTTGCGACGAAACTGCATATTGGCTCCTGGAATTTGAATTAGAGCTCAGCTACCACGATGCGGAAAATTGAAACCGTGCACAAGCTCTCATAGATCCTCTTGCGACAACGCAGAATCTCATTACCGCTGTCCACAGAGCAAGTGCTGGCTGGGGCTGTACGCAGCCACCAACTTCGACCTGATTTATGCCCACCAAGACGCCTTCTTTCAAACTGCCCTGATGCCTCTTGAACTCGTCCCTGAGGGAGGGTCATCTTAGAACTTTCCACAAAGGGACGTGACACAAGACGATGCACTCTTGCTCGATAGGGAATGATCGACGGCGCGTAATCGTATGTGGGTGGTTCAGTCACGGCGGTAGTGGAAACCCCAACGCCAGATGAGCTTCTAGCGAAGGTGGGCGAAGGAAAATACGATCTGAAAGTGTAGAGCTGAGGCGTTGCAAATGGCGAAGAAGCTAGTCTCTGGCACAGCGGATGACGTAGAGGCATAGGTGAGGGCAGGTGAAAGAAGAGTAGCGGAGATGCAGGCTAGCCTGAGGGCTTTTAGAGAACGTAAGGGACATTCAAAGATGTAGCTACAGCAGTGGACATGAACAATGGTGCGCAAAGGCGAAATGGTGCTGGATATTGAAGTTGACAGAACAGAGAGAACAATCGCGGGCTTCCATCCGCGGCCGCCTAGTGCCGGTTTTAACCGCTTTTGGCGCTACCGAATCGAGCAGTCCATCCATCAACTGAACACCTACTCGTCGCTCTCCATCTCCTAGGACGACTCGGTTCCTGTGCCTTATTTGCCCTTACCAATACCAAACATGTCGAAAGCTGAAGGCGCGCCCGCACATGGAGCTGTAGCTCACCTTCTCCCACAAACGTACAAACGACTCATTTCGGAATGGCTCGAGGAAGACACCCCAAGCTTCGATTATGGTGGTTTCGTAGTTGGAGAAGAAATCTCAGAAGCTAAGCTTCTCGGAAAGAGTGAGGCAAGTTGGAGTGAAGATTGCGATAGATTGACCTCCTGACGACCTATTAGGGTATAGTGGCCGGGGTTCCGTTCTTTGATGAGGTGTTTCGACAGCTAGATTGCACGTACGTGACTGCATCGCAAACTATTGAGGTAGTGGTTTACTCTTTCTAGGGTCGAATGGCATGTCAAAGAAGGGGATGCTTTCAAACCTATTACACACTGTGCAACTGTTCGAGGTCCGGTCCGAAAACTCCTGCTTGGTGAACGCGTAGCTCTCAACACTCTTGCGCGATGCTCTGGTATCGCAACCAAATCGAACTGTCTCCTCCAGCTGCTCCGGAAAGCAGGATACCCTAACATTCTGGCTGGTACTCGAAAGACCACTCCAGGTTTCCGGCTTGTAGAGAAGTATGGCATGTTGGTCGGTGGCGTGGATGCACACCGTGTCGACCTATCCGCGATGACCATGCTGAAGGACAACCACATCGTTGCTGCGGGAAGTATCACTAATGCCGTTCGAGCTGCCAAGTCGGCAGGTGGCTTCGCAATCAAGGTGGAGGTTGAATGTCAGAGCTTCGAAGAGGCCGATGAAGCTATTGCTGCGGGAGCCGACATTGTCATGCTGGACAACTTCACCCCGGACAACGTCAAAACGGCAGCTGCGCAGCTGAAAGAAAAATGGGGAAGAGGGACCGGGGATCGAAAGGCATTCTTAGTTGAAGTCAGCGGAGGTTTGACTGAGGATAATGTGGAATCGTATGTCTGCGGGGATATCGATATTGTGAGCACTAGCAGCATCCACCAAGGTGTTAAACATGCCGACTTCTCGTTGAAGATCGTGCCGAAGGGCAAGGAGACGAAGAAGAAATCTGCCGAGAGTTTGGAGGTCTGAGACATGAAAAAATAGCATCCTGCGTCCCATTTAGAGAACTACAAGCTAGTAGAATGCGAAATTTTTTATCTTACAATTACTCTGGTATCCAATCATGTTAAATTAATAATATGGCAGAAATGCCGCCATTCCTGGTCATAAGTTATTTTGAAGCAGGTCACGCACTACGTGACTACTTCTGAGCTGTGATGCGCGCATATAGCGGGATGATGGCTGCGCCTGAGTAATGCGCCACACTACATCATCATGTACGCCGTTCCGTTCACCCACACTTCAATCGTGACGTCTGAGCTTAGGTGCTCAAAAGGTGCTACAGAATATAAAATATTTAGTTCCAAAAAATTGATAATTTACTCGCTGAGATGGCCGAGCGGTTAAGGCGGTAGATTTAAGACCAGTTAGTCATATCTCTCCTGGGGAAACCCGCGTGAGTTCGAACCTCACTCTCAGCATTCCTTTTTGCCTGTGATATGAACATCTCCATGCACCCGCTTCTTTTTTGCTAACAGCAGCTCCTCTTGTTCTTACATCTTACTAGTAGGTTCTCCCTGTGACCGTGAGGAAGGGGACGTTGGGATACTCACCAGATTGACAGACTTTTTGTTGCCGAGGGGCTGGAAGGTGGTGTGGCTGAATCAGCGCGTGTCACTCCTCAGCTCGCAGAAAATCGCTCTGGAAGGCTTTGACGACGCCATCCAGCAAGAATCTAATTTTTCAGCTCTTGTCATTTCCACTGCGGTGTTCAACTTACGTTGCGTTGAGTTGGTTCAGATGCTCCTGGCTTCCCACTTCCTTCCGACATGGATCGTGCAGATCCCAAACCCATCAACCGTGTCGTCCTTGCATGCATCCAGTGTCGCAGTCGACACGTAAAATGCGATGCCACACAGCCGATCTGCAATCGTTGCAGAAGAGAAGGAAAGGAGTGTACCTACAAGAAGTCACGACGAGGTGGACTTGACAAGGCGGCTTTGGCACAACGGAAGCTAAAGTTACAGCAAAAGGCTACCGAACAAGCACAGCAACCCCAGGCTAGCACCAACCAAGCTGTGTCTCTCGGGACTTCTTTCAATGGCGGTCGAGATGACTTCCTTGACCATTTCACACTTGACGTGGATATGAGCGCTATCCAATGCATGGAAGCCGATCTCGCTGCTTCAAATAACATGACCTTCCACGGGAGTAACAGTCGACTCTTGGACATGTATTACGAAAATTTTTGGCATGCGTTTCCATTTACACTCCCACATCAGTGCTTCAATCAAAGAAGGCTGATGCAGCGGCACGGTATGGATAACGTGCTGCTCGTCATCCAATGGATAGGTTCCATTTACGCTCCCTGGTCAACATCAGAACCATTCTATGAAGCAGCATCGAAGGCGCTCAATGAACGAACTTTACCCAGAGACCCGTGGACAGTCCAAGCACTCATGCTTTTTGCGATTGCCGAACACCATTGCGATATGAGGCCCGAATCGCGCAAGACGACAGAAAGGGCCGTTGCACTAGCGTTGGAACTGCAAATGAACACGAGAGAGTTCGCCAGAGCCTATGGTGAGTACAATGCTGTGTTGGAGGAGTCGTGGAGGAGGACTTATACGTTCTTGACTTTGATCGATCAGCACTTTGCCGTTGTCAGCAATGTTCCCAACTTTACACTTCGAGACGTTCCATATCTTGTAGATCTTCCGTGCGACGACGAGTATTACATATTAGGGGTAAGCTCCCAGAGACTCTTAATGCAGGAACGTCACTAATTTCTTCCGTAAGAACATACCTCCGGCGACAACATGGCAAGAGTACGACACACGCGAATTCGCAGATATCGAGATCATCTACTCTTCGATAGTGTATTTGCTTGACATCTCAAAGGTCGTCGTATACAGTAAGTTTGCACTTATCGTCTCACTTATACCACTAACAGTAAATAGTCATGCGCTCTTTCATCGAGCTTGGTACTTTCACAGACAGCTTGATAGCTTCTGTCGATGCCAAGGTCGCTGCCTGGCAATCATTGCTCCCAGTGAGCAAGCGCGATCCTTTACGAGTGGACGGGAAAGTGGATGAAGTTATGTTCATGGCCCACGAGATGGCTGCCGTTGTTATAACGACTATACATCGACCGCTGAGTTCGTTGGCCTACAGCCTGGAGGAGCTGACGACAGAAAGCTTTTCCTCACCCGTCCCTTTCATCGAGCCAGCGAAGGCAGGCCGTAGCTCACATACTGCTCGAGCTCTAAAAGCGATTGATATTCAAACGAAGCTCCTCGCTATTCCTTGCGCCATCGAGAAGCACAATGTCTTCACCATGTGCATTGTAGCAACACTGGCAGCCTCTCAGATATCAGCCTGCAACATCCTTCTCGACGACCACAGATTGTCCATTGCTCGCGACCGCGTTCGGCTCAGCATTGGATACCTGAACGCCATGTCGTCGCTATGGCCGCTTGCGAAGAAAATGGCCAAGGAAGTGCGATTCATAGCTCGGAAGACTCTTGCAAGCCTACCAAGCACATTAACCCAGCAGCAAGATGAAACTGCAACCACTGAGATTCCGCGCGATGAAGTGATCTGGCCAATTGATCCTTCGGCGTCAATTGACATTTACGCTGGCTTGAACCTTCCGTTCGATTGGGAGGCATCGTTGATCAATTACAGCTCTTCTTCGGGCTCGGGTATGACTTGATCTGGCTCATCTGGTGTGCTTTAAGCATTTAGTCCATGGTGTATTTTTCCTAGCCTAGTACATTCTTTCATGTTGCTCATATCAGTTGTAGAGACATCAATTTCTATCCAGGTTGAGACTTCGGAAGAGCGGAAGAGATCGCATCCTTGGAGTTACGCAAATCCAGAGAGGTTTGCTCACCCCCAACATTGGCATCACCCGACTCGTTCTCGGCATCAGCGGGTGTTATCATCACAGGCGTATCTGCATTACAGAAAGCGTTTAGCTGCTAGCGGTAGGCGGAAGGAGGTTAGTGGGCCGACATGATTGGCTGGAGTAGAAAGCCCCCGCTGGATCGCCGTCGTCCGCTATCATTCGAACTTTGCTCGTTCGCCTCATGACGACAAATATTATCAGCATGGCAGTTTCTAACCTTGGCTACAAAATGCACGTTTGCTGAACATTGAAAACCTTCAATTCGACGACATATACGACACTCCTTGAAATATCCACGACGGAGCGAAACTTCCACTGCCCCGCTTCTTGTTCTAGGCCGAGATCGGTCAATTAAGTTACGCCGCGATGAGTGACTCGGATAAAGATTTCTTGGCGCCTGGTGCTGGAGATGCTAAGAGCGGCGGCGAGGAAGAGATGGAAGCTCAGTTAGAAGAGGTGAATCCTATCGCCGAGGGCAAGTTAGTCCGGAAGCTCGACCTTCACCTTATACCAGTGGTCATGCTGCTCTATTTACTAAGCTTCCTTGATCGGTAAGTTTAAACTCAACACCACTACGCCCGGCTTGCTTTTCACTTGACTCGTCATCTTCATCGTACCGTGCTAATGTACTTCCTAGTGTTAACATCGGGAATGCCCGACTCTATGGACTTGAAGCGGACCTGGGTCTGAACGCCCAGCAATGGCAGGTCGCCGTATCCATCCTCTTCGTCACATACATCCTCTCCGAAGTCCCTTCCAATCTAGTTCTCAAGAAGCTTCGCCCGTCTCGCTGGATAGCCTTTATCACCATAGCATGGGGTATCGTCGCGACTCTTACCGGCGTGGTCCAGAATTACGCAGGACTTGTGGCTTGCCGTCTCCTACTTGGTGCTGTCGAAGGTGGCCTCTTCCCTGGAATGGCCATCTACCTCACGTTCTTCTACACCAAGCGTGAATTGGCCCTTCGGATCGGGTATCTGTTTGTGAGTGCGGCGTTGGCAGGTGCATGTGGCGGACTTCTTGCTTTTGCAATAGGACACATGGATGGAGTAGCCGGAGAGCGTGGATGGCGATGGATATTGATCCTTGAGGGTATCCCTACCTGCATCCTTGGTGTTGCGACGATCTGGATCTTACCCGATAATCCCGTGCATGCATACTTTCTTTCCTCGAAGGAAAAGACACTCGCGGCATCCCGCTTGACACGTCAAACCGGCTATACCGCCAAAGCCGCCGAGTTCCATTGGGAAGATGTGAGGAAATGCGTCAGAGATTGGAAAGTATGGGCATTCTCCTTCGCTCAATTCGGTGCCGATACGATGCTGTACGGCTACTCGACTTTCCTGCCCACCATCATCAAGGGTATCCAACCCAAGGCATCTTCTGCTTTAATACAGGTCTACACTATTCCGTGTTACGCATTGGGAGCGATTACATACTTGATCATTGCGCGGTTATCAGATCACCAACAAAAGCGTGGACTTTACGCGGTGGTGTTTGGCCTTGTCAGCATCGTCGGGTATGCGATGTTGATGAGCGATACCAGCTCCGGAGTTCACTTTGCGGGCTGTTTCTTCGTAGCTATGGGCCTATATGTCACTGTTGGCTTGCCGCTTGCGTGGTTACCAACCAATAGCCCTCGCTACGGGAAGAGGACAACAGCTACAGGGCTGCAGCTCACTATCGGTAACTGTGCTGGGATAATGAGCTCCTTCGTAAGTCCAAGCGCTCTAGTTCTTCGTCGTGCTTTGTTTGCTAACGTTGTGGTAGTTGTACCCAAGCAAGGAGGGTCCTCGCTATATCAGAGGCCATGCTGTTAGTTTAGCAATGGGTGCTTTCGCTAGCTTGGTGTATGCGTTTATGTGGTGGCACTTTTCTATGGTCAACGCGAGACGGGCTCGGGGCGAAGAGGATCATAAGATTGAGGGTATGTCGGAAGAAGAGATTGCGGAGTTGGGAGATGATAGTCCACGGTTTGTGTATACTATCTGAGCGGGCTCAAGGGAAGGATATTATGTACCCCGGAAGGAGAGAAAGTACCTCTCCTGCGCCTGCTCTTCTGGGACACATTACAAACCGAGTCACGTAATTATAACTGTCCTTCTTCTACTCGAACCATTCATTGTCCATGTCGAAACCCCGACTCACATTCTATCCTACCCTTCCTTGTGTCTTTCACCGGAGATCTTTTCCCCACTTATCCACTTACCGACGCTCTATCAACAACCATCATCTACTAATCACGCATGTACGATTGCAAAACCTGCCTGTCTTTGTGCAGTTTAATACTCCCAGGATCCTTGAAGAAGTCCAGCTTCCAATTCAGCAATGACTCGCTTCCCTGTATACAAAGCCTATTCCTCGAAGCTTTCGCTTTCAGAAAAATCCGCCTTGGAGAAAACATGCCAGTACCAAATTACCACATATTACGAGCGACATCCTACTAAACCTCTCCTATCTTCAACTACTCCAGGAAAACCTCACCCATACATAACGATACACTACGTCTAAAACCCCTCGACCGGACGGATTCTTACCATAAGACAGTCCCCCCTCAAACCCTACATAGCC